GGAAGGAAGGAAGGAAGGAAGGAAGGAAGGAAGGAAGGAAGGAAGGATGGATTTGTACCGGTAGTATTCACATGGGTTTAGATTTATCAAGAGTCCCACATCTGTGAAATAGTTTAGAGAGAGTTACAGTGGATCCAATGAAATCATAATGGCTGTGAAGTCTTCCTTTGAAGTGCTTTTCCTATCAGAATAATTACAGAAATTTCTTTTGCATTGTTCTGACACTGATAAAAATCAGGCACTCTCAATTGTAAAATTATAAAATAATGCACAGTTATAAAAGATAAGAATTTTTAAATGGAGTGGCTTATAAATATACCAAATATGTAATGAGCTCAGAACTACCATGATGCATGCAGCTGAACAAACAAAATGACTATTTCAGTTTGAACCTTGGAGCTTCTCATCTATTTATGCACTTTCCTATTTTAAGGGTTGCCATTATTTAATATCAAACTGGAGCAACTAAATCTTAAAGTTAAACAAGCTAGAAAGGCATTGAATAAGAACAAAATAAGGGCTGCCTCTCTTTAAAAAGAAAAATGTTTCTTATATAGTAAACAATGCTTCATTATTAAAAAAAATCAAAAGAGGAAAAAGGATAATGCATTTGTCACTGAAATGAAAGGATTAAAAATCATTCTTATTTGAGGACACAAAATATTCTAAGATTACTCTTACAGTACTTCGCTCAGTACAGTACTGTTTCTTAATTAAGAAATACTTTTTATTAAGAATTTTGTATAGCAATTCAATAATTAGTAAGATCAACATAGAAATAATTGTAAGTAGTCACTTCCAAAGCATTTTAAAAAATAATGTGACATTATAAAAAGAGGGTTAACAATTATAAACATGTTGATATAATTAATAAAACTATAAATAAGCTAATACAAAGAAATTCAGTTAAAACTATTTCATTATATTATTATTGTTGTTACTAACATATATATTGATATGTTTGTTTCCTCCTTTGCATCTTCGTAAATGATATGCCCTGACAATACACTATATTCAAAATGTTTATGAATAAAAATAAAACATATATGAAAAAACAAAAAAAAACATAAATATTAGCCTAATCCAGATAGAATTGGTAACTGCTGACTCATGCCTGAGCTATACAATGTTTATACTGGACCATCTACCTTGATATACACTGCTCAAAAAAATAAAGGGAACACTTAAACAACACAATGTAACTCCGAATCAATCACACTTCTGTGAAATCAAACTGTCCACTTAGGTAGCAACACTGATTGACAATCAATTTCACATGCTGTTGTGCAAATGGAATAGACAAGAGGTAGAAAGCATAGGCACTTACCAAGACATCCCCAATAAAGGAGTGGTTCTGCAGGTGGTGACCACAGATCACTTCTCAGTTCCTATGCTTTCTGGCTGATGGTTTGGTCACTTTTGAATACTGGCACTGCTTTCACACTAGTGGTAGCATAAGACAGAGTCTACAACCCACACAAGTGGCTCAGGTAGTGCAGGTCATCCAGGATGGCACATCAATGCGAGCTGTAGTAAGAAGGTTTGCTGTGTCTGTCAGCATAGTGCCCAGAGCATGGAGGCACTACCAGGCAGTACATCAGGAGACATGGAGGAGGCCATAGGAGGGCAACAACACAGCATCAGGACCGCTACCTCCACCTTTGTGCAAGGAGGGACAGGAGGAGTACTGCCAGAGCCCTACAAAATGACCTCCAGCGGGCCACAAATGTCCACGTGGCTGCTCAAACGGTCAGAAACAAACTCCATGAGGGTGATATGAGGGCCCGACGTCCACAGGTGGGGGTTATGCTTACAGCCCAACACCGTGCAGGACATTTGGCATTTGCCAGAGAACACCAAGATTGGGAAATTTGCCACTGGCCCCCTGTGCTCTTCACAGATGAAAGCAGATTCACACTGAGCACGTTAAAGATGTGACAGGGTCTGGAGATGCCATGTAGAACGTTCTGCTGCCTGCAACATCCTCCAGCATGACCGGTTTGGCAGTGGGTCAGTAATGGTATGGGGTGGCATTTCTTTAGGGGGCTGCACAGCCCTCCATGTGCTCACCAGCGGTAGCCTGACTGCCATTAGGTACCAAGATGAGATCCTCAAACCCCTTGCAAGACCATATGCTGGTGTGGTTGGCCCTGGGTTCCTCCTAATGCAAGACAATGCTAGACCTCATGCGGCTGGAGTGTATCAGCAGTTCCTGCAAGATGAAGGCATTGATGCTATGGACTGGCCCGCCCGTTCCCCAGACCTGAATCCAATTGAGCACATCTGGGACATCATGTCCCACTCCATCCACCAATGCCACGTTGCACCACAGACTGTCCGGGAATTGGGGATGCTTTAGTCCAGGTGTGGGAGGAGATCCCTCAGGAGATCATCCGCCACCTCATCAGGAGTATGCCCAGACATTGTAGAGAGGTCATACAGGCACGTGGAGGCCACACACACTACTGAGCCTCATTTTGACTTGTTTTAAGGACATTACATCAAAGTTGGATCAGCCTGTGGTGTTTTTTTCCACTTTAATTTTGAGTGTAACTCCAAATCCAGACCTCCATGCGTTGCTAAATTTGATTTCCATTGATAATTTTTGTGTGATTTTGTTGTCAGCACATTCAACTATGTAACGAACAAGGTATTTAATAAGAATATTTCATTCATTCATATCTAGGATGTCTTATTTTTGTGTTCCCTTTATTTTTTTGAGCAGTGTAGTAATATTTTACCACACTCAATGTAAGATGATGGTGATATTAAACTTTAAAATGCTAAACAGCTTAGGCCTTGGATATCCAATTATCTT